AGATTATTTAGGTTACATTTCAGTCAAATATTTTTAAAACGATTTGGGGATGGTTAAAACTGTTGACAGGTATAATTTTATGGTTGTTGGGGTTGTGTCCCCTAATATTCTATTGAGTCCTTGAGACCAGAAGTCAGATAAAAACTCTCCAGTGAGTACACAGCAATAAAACAGACAAAGTGACAAAATATCAACAAATAACAATGCCAGGATATGAGTCTTTTATCTGGTTTTATGCATTTTATTACAGTTGTTTTTTTACTAAACTATGAAATGGTTGTATATTTATGTAGATTTTAGGTGAAACTAATGCTGCATTGTGAACCTACTGAGAGACTACAAGAAAGCCATATCAAACATCTGAAGTGATGTGAAGTGAAGTGATGAGTGATTACAAGCATTAAATTATTTCTGAGAATGAATCCACTGATTTGGGGAATAGCAGTCAACAGATGGATTTATGGTCTGATGGACTATTATAGCTCCCAAGGTAATACTGGGGGAGATTTACTAAAACTGGAGCACTCAGAATCTGGTGCAGCTGTGCATAGTAGCCAATCAGCTTCTAACTTCAGCTTGTTCAATTAACCTTTGACAATAAAAACTGGAAGATGATTTTGCACCATACAGTTGTAGTAAATTTCCCCCATTGTTTTTATCTGTTTATCACTGGTATGATGGAAAGTATGGCATTTATTGCTGTGTCTTTATGAGCATTATCATTTCATTTGGGTTTTGGCACAATAGCTGAAACAATATGGTGTGGGTAATTATTGGTAATTTGTGATACCAGTTTTTGCACATAACTTATTTTTTCCCTTTTGGGGTTAAATTCGAATGGTTGCTTTGTTTTGGTTTAAGGTAGAGCATGAAATTGCAGTACATACACTCACTTGCCACTTTATTAGGTACAACTTTCTACACTCTAAAAAATAATGTTTTGGCTCAACAAAAAAAATTAACGCAACAGTTTGCATCAAGCTTTTTAAGTTATGACAATGTCTGATGAAATTAAGTTGAAGCAACAAACTACATTGCATTGAGGTAATTAGCTTTTCTGATATAAATGAATGCATTTTTATTTACCGCCAACTTAATTACTGGCATTATAAACACATGTTTTTAAGTTGAGTACTTAAACATATTAAGTTAATTCAAATAGTTTTTCCAGTTTTTATAAGAAACCTTCAAGTCACGTGTACTTAATTACTACAATTATGAGCAAGTTTTTTAAAGTTAAAAAGCATTTAAAAATCAAGTTGATCCAAATTGATTTTCTGTATTAGTTTTTAGCTTTGATTTTTTTATACTAGCTTTCAAAAATGAATTAATCAGTTTAGGCTTACACTAGAATGTGCTGCAGAAACCCCGCAATCTGTGTGCATTTCGCGCACCGCATTCAAATCGCACTACCCTTGCAGTCTGCAGTGGATTTCAGTGTTGCAAACACAGTGCATTTGCCGGCACCAGATTGCATGGTACAAAACAAAACATGCAATCTGGTTGCACTGTGGTTCAAAAATTGGTGCATGCATGTCTTTGGTGCGATGTGATGTGATTTGAGCTCATTCAAAATGAATGGGCTCAAATTGCATTACACTGAACCACATGTGAATTCAACAGGAATGTGTTGCAGTTCCTTTGTGATTCACATGCACTTCATTGTGTGAACCAAGGCCCAACAATCCAATTGTTAAACAATTGACATTTTTTGCACACCAAAATCAAATCCTTAAAGTTGTACTGATGAATGAGTAAGCACTTTGCATTAAGATTTTTTTAATATTGTCTGTCTGGTGCAGAAACTGTTTCTCTACAAGACCTTTGCTATATTGTGCAACAAATTGTGGCAATATAGTGAAGCTATTGGAGGATATTGAAAGTTGATATTTTGTGAGCTTTCTTACAATTTGCTATATTCTTTCCGCATTACCCTGCGACAACCATTTTGTGAACTGAAATAAAAGTGAAAAATGTCATCTGAGTATGACTGTGCTATGGAACACATACGTTCTTCAGAGAATACTGTACTTGAGACCCATTACTTTAGCACTGGCTTTCAGTCCATCAAGTTCAAGGAACAGTTTTTGAAACAACTGAGACTTGATTTGTGTTAAGTGAATGGGGGTGGAGACTTGCAATGCAGCTCTCAATGTAGAGCAAAATTAAGTTACCAAGTCAAATTTATTAAGGTACCTTAACTTAAATTTCATTGTACAACAATGAATGCAGAAATGTAACTGTACATGACACACAATATTAAGTTGATGTAATTTCCAACATTATCATTTCAACACAACTCATGAAAGTAGGTTTTTAAATGAAAAAGTTTATTTAAACCAATAAATTAGGATTTTTATCTTGGAAATACACATTTAATTAAGTGGTGGTAACAGGTCGCTTGAGTTATTTTTTAGAGTGTAGTACCAGGTTGGACACCCCTTTGCCTTCAGAACTGCCTTTATTCTTCATGGCATAGATTCAACAAGGTATTGAAACATTCCTCAGAGATTGTAGTCCATATGGACATGATAACATGCCTTTCTATCATCTCGAACCAGTCATCCCATGCTCCTCTGACATCAACAAGCCATTATTGTCCATACAACTGCCATTCACTGGAAATTTTGTAAACCCTAGAGATGGCTGTGCGTGAAAATCCTAGTAGATCAGCAGTTTTATGAATACTCAGACCAGCTCGTCTGGCACCAACAACCATGCCACGTTCAAAGTCCCTTAAATTCCCTTTCTTCCCCATTCTAATGCTTGGTTTAAACTTCAGCAAGTCATCTTCACCACATCTAGATGCCTATATGCATTTAGTTGTTCCCATGTGATTGGCTGATTAGCAATTTATGTTACCAAGCAATTGAACAGGTGTTCCTAATAAAGTGGCGAGTGTACATTTTATATTTGATCAGAGGGGCATGGCCAATTGACTCCGAACTGAGCTAATGCCTGTCTTTCATTCACCTTACATTGAAATTGAATACAATGTGCCACTGTACCTGCATGCCATATTACATAACGGAGTGAGATGTGCTCTGTCTGCCAGCACCTGAATACAGAGTGTAAACCTGGGAGATCGATTCGACAGGCTTAGAGTGGCATCTGTTATGGTACATACATTTTATAGAAAGAAAATATTAGTACTATCATTATATGTACAGTAATTAACTGCATACAGTTATTGGAACACAACACTGTTCACATTGGTAGTCCTGATTGGCTAAGAGTAGGAGGAAATGGAAGGCTAGAGTGGAAAATATTTTTATATAAACTTTACCCAGAAGCTGTAAACTCCTGATCAAGTAAGATAGTGCCGAATTCAAGTACAGCTTTTCTGGATTATGTATTTTTAACATCCACAACTGTAAAGTGGATGAACCCATAGCTCCTCCTTAATGTCTGTAAGAGCTATGCACAATATACAGTAAATGTTGATAATTGTTACTTTTCCCTATTTTTTGATTATCAGCTTGAGCTGGAAAACACACAAGTAATATATTATTTATTATTATTATTATACAGTATTTATAAAGCGCCAATAGTTCGCTCAGCGCTGTACATTACAAAGGGGGACAGAACATGTGACAGAACAATACCAATACAATGCAAAACATGAGGGGATCGAGAGCCCTGCTCTTTCAAGCTTACAATCTACAATATATATATATTTTATCACTATCAAAATGTTACCACTGTTGCAAAGTAGACCACAGTAGTGTAACGGGAAATGTGCCTGCAACAAAATATAATCTAGATGGACATTTTCAGACATATAACGATGAGTTGGTAGTCCTGAAATCTGCTTCCGTCATCCTCCAGTACACGGGGTCCTATTAACAAGTAAAAATTGTGTTCTTTGTCATTTTTTCATTTTATTTCATCCCTTTTGGCTATTCCTTTCTTTTTACATGTAATTGGTCTTGCTCATTGCATTACTATCACTGTAATACTCACTTTTCTAATAAAATTTGACCAGTTTAAGAAGAGAGGGATATAACTTTTTATAGTAGTAAACAAATCACTACTATCTCATAAAAGCTTTACCATGGTAATGTCATTTCAAATATTGTTTTCAATATTTCTAAATCGGGTTTAATGAAAAAATATCTGGGGATACTGCCATGAAGACACAGTGGCTGTGTCCCAATTTAAATGAATGTAATTACGTGCATGGGAATGCATGGAACACTTGTGCATCCCCATATAGGCAAACATGGCACTCTCACCTGTGCACAATACTATACAATAAAATGAAGTCCTTGAGTTTAGGTCCCCTTAAATGAGGCTTGAGGAAATAAGCAGCACTGAGATGCAAAGCATAATAAAAACATTGACCATGTCCAGTGCTGGTTATTTTTGTTGTCTTTGACAAATGTAGCACTTGCCCCATAGGGGCCGCCAGATAATGTTTGTTCCTGGTTGTTGCCCTGACCTTGCAAGCTTCTAAACCCTTCTGACACTTAAACACAGAATTAATGCTCCCCAAATTTTGATAAACAATATTAGCACAGAGTATTGTAAAACCAAAAGACACAATCATTTAGCAGCCACTGTTATATTGTTTATTGGTAAGCACAAGCTCCAATTAACAGTTGAATAGCTCATACAATTTTCAAAGGAACATAAAATTGGGGAACTCTAAGTATAATACCAATTGGTTAAATAATTGTAGGATAGCAATGTCAACCCAAACAGGTTATATGCAATTAAAGGCAATCGAGCCCAGCCCAATTTTCAGGTTTCAACGCTAGCACACTTTGAAAGACAATTCTGCGGTCATGCAACACTGTACCCATATGCAATTTTTATAATTTTTTTCACACACATAGAGCTTTCTTTTGGTGGTATTTAATAATTGCCACTGGGTGTTTTTATTTTTTGCACTATAAACAAAAAAAGAGCAAAAAAATTAGAAAATAAAAGTTTGTTTCTATTATAAAATTTTGCAAATAGGTAATTTTTCTCCTTCACTGATGTGCATTGATGAGGCTGCACTGATAGGCAGCACTGATGGGCACTGATACGCAGCACTGGTGGGTACTGATGAGGTGCATAGATAGACAGCACTGATAGGCTGCACTGATGAGGTGGCACTGGTGGGCATTGATGAGGAGGCACAGATGATGCTCCACTGATTGCAGCACTGATGGGCACTGATAGGTGGTACTGATGAGCAGAGCTGACTGCCGGCACTGCTGGGCATCACTGCTGGGAGGCACTGATGGGTGTGGCACTTATGGGCGGCACTGCTGGACACTGATAATCAGTGCCCTGATGATCAGTGCAGATGTCCTCTGTGTCAACGTGAGGAAAGTGCTGCTGATAACTGGCAACTGTATTTACATTGAGATCTGTTGTGTCATTGGACACAGTTGATCACGTGCTAAAATGCTGATGTGATTGGCCTTTTACCTCATCATGTGATCAGCTGTGTCCGTAGGACACAGCGATCATGGAGAGCACTGGGTGTTTGCCACTGGGGGTGCGCGCGGAGGGCGTGTTCTGGGAGGACATCATATGATGTCCTCCCAGAACTGGACAACTGCACTGTAGCCATCATTTGCCTATAGCATGGTTAGCAAGTGGTTATTGACATTGCTATGTGCCCGGGGCACAATCATATGAGAACAGAAAAAAGTCATCCTCAAACTGTTGCCATGTGGCTGAAGGAATTTATCCAAAATGTCTTATGCTGTATCATTAACAGTACCTTTCACTGGAAAGACCAACACAAAGTGGCACATAATTGTAAAGTGGAAGGAAAATTCTAAATGGTTTTCAAATTTTTTTACAATTAAATATCTGAAAAGGGTGGCTTACATTTGTATTCAGCCAGCTTTACTCTGATACCCCTAACTTAAATATAGTAGAATCAATTGCCTTTAGAAGTCACCTAATTAGTAAATAGAGTCCACCTGTGTGTAATTTAATCTCAGTATAAATACAGCTGTTCTGTGAAGCGCTCAGAGGTTTCTTAGTGAACATTAGTGAACAAACAACATCATGAAGGCCAAACAACAAACCAGACAAGTCAGGGATAAAAGTCGTGGAAAAGTTTAAGCAGGGTTAGGTTATAAAAAAAATATCTGAAGCTTTGAACATCTTACGGAGCACTGTTCAATCCATCATCCAAAGATGGAAAGAGTATGGCACAAACCTACCAAGACATGGCCGTCCTTCTAAACTGACAGACCAGGCAAGGAGAGATCAGAGAAGCAGCCAAGTGGCCCATGGTAACTCTGGAGGAGTTTCAGAGATCCACAGCTCAGGTGGGAGAATCTGTCCACAGGACAACTATTAGTTGTGCACTCCACAAATCTAGTTTTTATGGAAGAGTGGCAAGAAGAAGGCTATTGTTGAAAGAAAGCCATAAGAAGTCCCGTTTGCAGTTTGCAAGAAGCCATGTGGGGGACACAGCAAACATGTGGAAGAAGGTGCTCTGGTCAAATGAGACCAAAATTTAACTTTTTGGCCTAAAAGCAAAACGCTGTGTGGCAGAAAACTAACACTGCACATCACTCTGAACACCATCCCCACAGCAAAACATGACGGTGGCAGCATATTTTTTTGGGGATGCTTATCTTCAGCACGGAAAGAGAAGCTGGTCAGAGTTGATGGGAAGATGGATAGAGTCAAATACAGGGCAATATTAAAAGAAAACCTGTTAGAGTCTGCAAAAGACTTGAGACTGAGGTGGAGGTTCACCTTCCAGCAGGACAATGACCCTAAACATACAGCCAGAGCTACAATGGAATGGTTTAGATCAAAGCATATTTGTGTGCAGGGGCGGACTGACAACTCATGGGGCCCCCGGGCAATAGGGGATCATGGGGCCCCTGTGTCCTTAACCAAACTCAAAAAAGCCTATGAAAAAGGTACCAGGGGCATCTCATGGGGCCCCCTACTGACCTGGGCCCTCGGGCAGTGCCCGAGTTTCCAAATGGTCAGTCCGCCCCTGTTTGTGTGTTAGACTGGCCCAGTGAAAGTTCACAGACGCTCTCCATCCAATCTGACAGAGCTTGAGCTATTTTGCAAAGAGGAATGGACAACAATGCTACTCTCTAGATGTGCAAAGCTGGTAGAGACATCCCCAAAAAGTCTTGCAGCTGTAATTGCAGTGAAAGGTGGCTCTACAAAGTATTGATTCAAGGGGGCTGAATACAAATGCACGCCACACGTTTCACATATTTATTTGTAAAAAAATCTGAAAACCATTTATCATTTTCCTTCCACTTCACACTTATATGCCACTTTTGGTGTATTGTATAAAATCCCAATAAAATACATTTACATTTTTAGTTGTAACATGACAAAATGTGGAAAATTCCAAGGGGATGAATACTTTTTCAAGGCACTGTAATTATTGTAGCACCCAGACCTGCAAAACTGCACAATATCAGTTTTTTTTCTTTAATCTGTACAGTATACAGTTGCAGCACAATATTTACCCAGGATTAACTTCTTGTCCCATTTATGTAAACCGTATTTTGATGAAAGTAGGAAACTTGTTAAATCAACCATTTTCTTTTTTTTTCCCTGAATTTTTGTTTAGCTTAAATCCCCCCCCCCCCCCCTCGCAATCTCTCTTCCTCGCTATTATTTTCTTTATACATCTGTCATAACTAATTTATTTTGGTACACTTCTCTTGTTCTGTGAAATTCTCATCTATGTATGATGCACACTGTAGCTTCTCTTGTTTTACGTGCAGAATATAACTCTTAAAGAGAAACTGCACAAAGATAAATATACAGACTGTCATTGCTGATGTCCTTCTGAATGGGCTGCCAATGCACCAAAACTGATTTTTTAATGCACTTTTTTAGAATTGCTCCACAGCACACAGGTGTTTCACATGCAATGTGCTAAAATGCAGGCTCGTTGTGGTGCTTTGGACATATGTATTGGGGTACCATTCAAAATGCAAAGATCTGAATGTATGTTTTTATGCTCTATGTATTGACACGGCACAGTACCCCTTCTGTTGTTCTTTATGATGGATATGATTTTCAGGTTTTATTTTTTATTATATATATATATGGCCACTGTTCACAAGCACTTCTTTTGATCTGAACTTTGGGTGTCATTCTCAGGATCTGTTCTTAAAGTGACACTAAACAATGTCCCTATGTGTTTTCCTGTCTCCTTGTAACGTCTTCTGTGAGCTCCTGAAATTTTCCTTTCCCCCTGCACACTTCTGTTTGTTTGGAACAAGCAGTGCATGTTTGTTGCAGTCAGGAGCCCTTCTCTATGTACACTACAAATCCTAGAGTCTACTATCTATAGTCCATCTTTGGAGGGAGCAATAGAGAGTAGCTACATTCCTAAATACAGTGGGACCATGGAGAACAAAGGTAGCCAAGCTCTAACAGGAAGTCAGATCACAGCAGTTAAAAATGGAATTTAGACTTGATTTTCATGATATACTGAATTAGAGTTTCTCAGCCAGGGTTGTAAGAGGTCATTAGGGGTTATGTTAATGATCACAACTTACAGAAAATTGTGTAGTGCTACTCCCAAAGGAGCCGCTGGATGATTTGAGTTCTCTTTTCTTGGTCTTGACTCTGTGGACAACCTCAACCCCTCTGATACACCAGGTTAAGCTGATAGAGACTGCCATATTTCTCAGAGCACAAAGATAAATACTTGGCAAACAACTATTTCAGTCTCTGAGAGTAGATAACGGTCTGGTTAGGAACACAGAAGTGTGTCATATTGTAATAAATTAAAGTAAATAATAATAATATGTACATATAGAAACAAAAAAGAACAATTGTCCAGAAAAAGGAGTTACTGTGTGGTAGTCATTTAAAGTATGTTCTTTACAATTAGAGTAATCAATACCTGGTAATCTGCAAATCATCAGTAAACAATGTGTTCTAGTAGCCCTCCTGCCACCTGTATCCTATACTGCTAGAGTGCACTCCATGGATGACTAAGCTAAGACCCATATCCGCTGTAGTGGTACCCATTTCTATAGGCAGTGAATGAAGTCCTTCTAACCCAGTTTAGCTAGAGTCCTCTGCCTTAGATCTTCACCCGGCTAGTGCCGGGGCCCAATCTTTACAGAGGTCCACACAAATACAGTCCCAGTAAAGCCTGTATGCAGGGGTATACACTGCTTTTCATGTGTCCATTCCTTAAGTGTTCAGTCTTTGACAGCAGCAGAGGTAATGGACCCAGAAATACAGCCACAATGGTCCCACTGTTCAGACATCCTCTGGATTGGCCTGGTGTGACTCTGGTCCTTAGTCCACAAATCTACAGCATTCTGGTATCTGTGCAGCAAGAGACTGTGTCCCACCAGTAACTCAGTCCTGAGTCTATGCACACTTTGATCTGCTCCCTCCATCTCTCTCTGGTCCACAGTAAATAGACCCAATTCTCCACTCAAGCTGCTGGCTTGTGTGAGGCCAGTGCACACATCCAGACAGGGATATGTGCTCACTTAGTTTTCCCCTCCTGGCAAAGAGAAAGCTAGTTCATCTGCAGCCTGGGAAATACAACTGCTTTGACCTCCCTTAGCTGTTTCGCTGTTTAACAAAAATGGTGAAAAGTCTGAGAGATAAAACATGTCAAGAGTGACTTCAGGAACTTATCATGTACAGTCTGGAGGAAAGAAGGGAAAGGGGAAGCATGGTTGAAACCTTTAAATACATCAAGGGGTTGAATAAGGTTCAGAAGGGTAGTATTTTCAACACGAAACCAAAATCAAGAACATGGGGAAATTACTTTAAACTAAATAGAGGAAAGTTCAAAACTAATCTCAGAAAGTACTATTTTACTGAAAGAGTAGTTGATGCGTCCAGAGGTAGTGGGCCAGTCAACAGTAAATAGTTTCAAACATGCTTGGGAAAAGCATAGATCTATACACAAAAAAAACATTAAAAAAGAAAAAAAAAGATCCCCCACCCCCAAAAAAAAGCTAAACAAAACACACACAAAAAGCAAACAAACACACTCCCACCCAAAAAAAAACACACAAAAAAAAAAAAAGGGCAGACTCGATGGACCATTCGGAAAGGCAGACATTGTGATTAAATTCAGCATGTCAGTTCAATGACAAGGTAAAGTGCCACTGCAAACAGTGACATACAGTATCTAGCTCCCTATAGCCAAGAATCTGGCTACAATTGTTTTTTTTAAACTTTGTATGTTACAGGCTACTGGGATTTGCAGTGGTGGTTGATGATCAAGATATCCTTTTAGCAATCAGAGAATTCCAATCTTTCTGTATGGCGGTGTACAGTAGGTCAGTGTACATTTTGTTCAGTCCATTCTCAGTTTTAATGTGAAATAGGGGAGGTTGAAAATGGTATGACATCAGGTCTCTCCTAAATTATCTTTCTCAAATTCCTCTGGGTATAGTAGAAAATTCATTTGCTAAACTAAAACAATCTATAAGAAAAAAATAAATAAAAAAAATGTTTCCATTACTGACTTAAATTAGAGTTGATATCCTTTGCCGAAAAGATGGTGAAAAAAAAGCCAGAATGTGAGTATTGGTTAATATGATGATGTTACTTCAGATGAGGCAACAAACTATGAAATGTCTGGAGGGATATGCAGACACATTTTATTTCATATAAAGAGTATTCTTACAATCAGTTAAAAATTTCAGAGCCTACCAATCAATTCTAGGTTCAGCAGACAGGAGGCAGTCCATTTCAGAGATCCAGGCAATGGTCTCCCCCACACTGGATCCATGGAGGGCCATGCAGCTATACCATTTCTTAACCACCATCAGAGTGAGTTGAATGAATTGAAGTAGGATATCTCCATTTGAGAAGCTTGGCTTACATACTTCACCAATGCATCACATGCTACCTACGGCCTATACTTTGATTAATAAACTGCAAGAAAACTTCACTCCTCCCTTTCTTCAGAAATGGGAGAGAGATCTAGACAAGACCCTGACCCCCTCTACTTTGCTCCCTGGTCCTTCCTTACAAGCAGGTATCAAGAATCAGGATACAAACTATTGACACGCTGGAATAGGACTCCTACGCTTCTCCATAAGATCTATCCCAATGTATCCCTACTAGACTGGTGTTTCCAACAGGAATCTGGCACATTGCTACATATCTTATGGTCGTGCCCTCGCATACAACCCTTCTAGGAGGATGTCAGACAGCTGATTCACAAACTTACCAATATATCCCTGGAGGTACACCTTGATGCATTTCTACTAAACATCACTCCGCTCTTGAGTTGCAGGTACAAGAAATCCCTCCTTATCCACCTGCTGAATGATGCAAAGGTTTGCATTCCACAAAAATGGAAAAACACAAATTCAACATTGTTTGGTCAATGGATAGCTGTGATAAACCAACTTAATGGTATGAAACGTTTAACAGTGGCTATGAAAGAGGAAAAATTCTGTAAAATGTGGTCCTACTGGCACAACTTCCAATATTTGCGGGACTATGCCTCATATCTGTCACCTCAGGTCATACAGGGTCCGTCTTGTAAAGATCAGATTAACTGCACCTTGGCTTTTTCGATGGGCATCAGTCTCTGTACTCCTCCCTCATTCTTTTTCTTTCTCTTCTGCCCATTTCTGGGCATGCTCTCTATCTCCCACATATGGCAATAATCTGGTAAAAAATGCTCTTTGGATTTAAGCCTGACTTGATCCCCATTTACATTCTAGTGATATGTTTATGAATATTGCATTTAAGAGGCTTTGTCTGCACTAATATTTTCTATGTGATCAGATTTCTAATATCCTAAGACATTGCTAAAATGACTCTGTTTGCGATGTGAGTTTAATTGTTTTTGGTAATTTCATTGTTATAAGATATACTGTATAAATGTAATTGTTTCACCTGTTTTACAGACTACTTCCTGTTGAAATGTACCATATACTTTGTAAAGAGTGAGAAAAAAACTATAAATGAAAAAAGAAAAAAAATCTCATAGCCTACACCCAGTATGTTTTACCTCTGTATAATATTTAT